CCCTCCACTTGACCAAGCACGGTGCCCTTCACCAGGGACTGGTCCCCTGGACAGCACGTCCAACATTCACAAGAGGGAGTTCCGTCACCCCTGCTTCCAAGGAGCATCCTGACTGGGCCTCTTCCAAAACGACGTGTTTGGCCCTTCGGCAGACCCCGGCACTGCTGTTAATATTCTTTGCCAGTGCCGTCACTCAGGCGCACGATCCTCCTGTCTTCCTCGTCGTGTCCAACCTTCACGTGCACCTGCTCGGCAGCCGGAAAGACCACAGCTGGACTCAGGGGTACCTAGTGCTCAAAGTGTCGCCCTTGCTCTCTAGCGCATGGAGGACATTTCGTGTGGCAGAGTGACGCGGGGGCTTGAGTTCTTGACCGCCCCGGCACTTCAGCAGGTGCGAAGAAGCTGTGGAGTGTGTGTGTGTGTGTGTGTGTGTGTGTTATATGCACGTAACTTTGATGGAGCCGAACCACACTTCACTGCCCCTTGAAGATGAGCCAGGGGCCCAGCCAGTCCAGAGCAGCCTGACCAACACTGTCCATGAGGACACACCATGTCCTTTGAAAATGTCCGTATTGGCCAGCTCTGAGGCAGGAGAAGCACTGCACTGCTGTGTTGTACTCCCATGGCTGGTCCCACTGGGACTTGTGTGGAGGGAGCCCAGGCTGTCCCCAGGGTCTCCTTGGGGCACTGGGGTCATGTCCTGTCACCGTACCTGTGCTCTCAGACTGATTAACCTGCACCCGTCTCCAGCCACACACCTCCATCTGCCCACCACCTCTGGGCGCCTCCACACACGAGACACGGGTGCCCCCAGTGCTTCCTAACCTGCAGCACATCTGCCTCTAAGACGCCCCAGTGACAGCTTAGACCGCATGCTGCCAAGCTCGTGGTCACTTCCCAAGGAGGGGGAGGAGGCCTGGCCAGGGTCGGCGTGGACTAAGTGGATTGTGAATAGAAACAGAATGCAAAGAGGCCTCTTTTGAGTGTGCACATGTGTGGCGCTGGGCTGCTCTCTGCGAGGTTGGTAGTTCGAAACCGCCAGCAGCTCCTCAGGAAAAGGGGAGGCTTCCGACCCCCGTAAGGAGCTGCCGTCTCGTAAACCCACGGGAGCAGCTCTACTCTGACCTGTGAGTCGCTGTGAGTCGGGATCCTCTTGATGGACGAGATGTGTGCAATGCTCAGTCTGAGGAGCGCCCCACACACACTCTCACTGTGCACACACATGTGCACACACATGTGCACACACAGCATCTCACCAGGTCCTTATATCCTGCACGGTGGGGACATGGTCACAGTCTACAGAGTTGAGGGGCGTGGAAAACTACATCCAGGTGAGTAAGCTGCAAAAACCAGGATTCAGCACATATTTTTATGACTTTGAAGATGACCCCTCTTTTACATCACCCATAAAAGTCCCTTCCCAGTGAGTCTTGTGTGAGTCTAGGTTGACTAGACATATGTGTGTCTCACACACCCATATGTATGTAAGAGACAGTTTTATATCAAAGATCAAATGACCATTAAGAAAGCCTCCCAGCCCAGTCCAGATCAAGTCTATAAGTCCTAGCCTATATGTCCAATACCAATCTATAACTTCCTCTTCAGACTCACACAACACATGCAATGATGCCGAATGCAGGAAGATCACAGGCCAGTGGGTGGGAAGTCTTGTGGATCCAGTGGTGGTGGAAGCATCTCAGCGCTGGCGTGGGTCTCCATGGGGCACCTCCAGCTCCAGGGCTCTGGCTCCATCAGCGTAGCTCCATGTGGCTTGTCAACAGGAATGTGTAGCAGAAAGAGTGTATCTGGCTGCCAGTGAGCTATTTCTCTCCATAAGACCTCCAAATGAGGTCATCAAGCTGCAATCTCATTGACAGGCTAAATGCCACCCCTTCACTCTTAATAGTCTCAAACTGACAGCAGAGTATGTAACTACCACAAGTCTTCTTTCATATCTTCACATTTCTGAACTTTGATGCCTTGAGGATATAGGAGGCTGACCCTTCTTCCTGGACTCCAGCTTCCTAGGGGCTGGGGCAGACTGTCCAGGAAGGAGCACATCCAGAGGGTGCCTCAGAGGCCAGGATGGCGAGACTGCGTTTCATGTTCTTTGCACATGTTGTCCCTGGGGACGGACACCATGCGTGGTCAAGTGGAGGGCGGCAGAAAGGGGAGGAAGCCCTCCACAAGATGGACGGGCCCAGTGGGGTCAGACACAACTGTGAGGGCGGGCAGGACCAGGAGGTGTTTCCTTCTGCTGTGCATAGGACGCTATGAGTCAAGGCGGGCAGCCGCACAGGACAAAGGCCACATCTGAAACACCTCCAGTGTCCTCGCCCTGCCCGGGCCAGTCCTGTGCATGCTAAGTCAAGTGCCCCATGGTCTGAACCCAGACTGCCAAAGGGCACGTGCACTGCAGGCTCAGGCACACCCAGACAGACGCGCGGGCTCCGCAGTCAAACATGGAAAACCATGCGGGTGCAGACGTGTTCAAAACAGAAGCACAATACTTGGAATCGATGGTCAGGTTTCAGAAGTGGAATAGCTCCTACCACCACGTCAGAAAACAAACAGCAGCCATTTCCGAAGCAGAAGCCTGACATCACACAAGCCAAAAGGCCTCGTTCCATGCCGGCCACCAGCCGTCTGCTGGCGCTGGGGTCGTCACACCGATCCTGGTGGATTTCTTAAGAGGGGGAATGGGATCAGAATAACCCTGCCACACAGACCGAGGCTCTGCCAGCTTTGCATCATTTGTCTAAAACGTTTGAAACGCTCATTAAAGTTGTTTAGTTTTTCCTTCCCATTAGCATTCCAAGCTGTGGATACAATCCTGTTGTTCTGAGGCCCGGCTGGATCTGACTCAACTCACCCCGTGCACAACAAGGCAAAACCCCGCCTGCTCCTGAGCACCGCCCCACAGTGGTTCTTATGCCTGAACCCATGGCCACGGCCTCTGTGTCCGTCCATCTCTTGAGGGACTCCCTCTTTCTCGCTGCCCCTCCACTTTACCAAGCGTCAGTGTGCGCTTTCACAGGCAAAGGGAGATGCCAGGACCTGGGCCAGGCGTGCACCTCAGCCCTCACAGTGCTGTCCTGGCTCTGTGGCATGTGGCTGGCTGGCGGCGCACGTCCAGCGAGGGCGGTGAGCAGCAGAGGGAAGGGGACGACGCCGCCTGAGGTGGTTTTCTCTGGCGGGCCCAGTCTTCATGGCGGCTGTGTTGGTTCCTCGTCTGCACCACGACCCTGCTGGGCTTTGTCTGTTCTGTTGGCGACAGCGAGGACGCGGGGAGAGGAGCCAGAAACAGACTGAGGCTCCACGTTACTGACTGCATGGCACTGGCCGGTCGCCTGCTCCGCGTCGCCCAGGCTCACCACCCGTCAAAGGGGACAGCAGTGTATTCTCGGTGTACCTGAAACACGCCAGTTCCTGGACGCTCCTCGGGCTGAGACGCACTTTCTGCAGCGCCTCACGTGCGCCAGTTTCTTTGACAGAAGCAATGCCAAGACGGGTTTGGTTAAGTAGAAGCTGCAGGTCCGTTGGCAACAGAAAGGGTCAGTCCCTGCCTGTTCATTCTGGAGAAGGGCTGCGGAGGCCGCCACCACACCCTGTCCACGCCACCACTGGACGTCACTGAGCTGGAGCAGAGTAGGCTCACCGTGTCCATGGCGCCTGTCAGCCCCTGCCCCTGGGTCAGGGCCAGGCAGCCGCCCTGTAGGCCAGCTTCACAGTGCTCTGCTGTGAAGGGCAATCAAGCCTGGTCCCATGGCGGGGGGCGGAAGGGGGTGGGGAGGGGAAGAAGGGCAGGGAGGCGGTGAGGGGGGGGCTGTTCAGCCTGCCTCCCCATGCTCCCCAGATGACTCCAAGGGCAGACAAGCCCCCAAGCCGGCCCCCCAGCTTCAAATCCTATAATTTCATTACCGCTCAGAGACTCTCATCCAAGATCAATGTCTCCACTGTGCTTCAGTTTGCTGCAGCCTGACGTGTGGACATGCTTTCTGCTCGGCCTGCTGGCCCTCCCCAGCGGCTGTTCCACTAACTGAGATTCACCAACCAGGCCCTAAGCCGCTGGCCCCGTGAGCCGGCTGGGCCTGATCTGAGGTGGACGGAGGCATGAGGTAGCTGGAGGTGGCTTCGAGATGGTCGGTGTCCAGCCCACAGCCCAGCAAGGCTGACTTTGGGCGGGGCA